TATATATAAGTCGTTAGTTTTCTAGAGAAAAAAAATATATGACATATGGAAAACTCAAGCCAGAGATTGATTTCAAGAAAAATGTAAGAATATAAAAAGTATATTTCTTAATCATTTAGTTCTTGAAATTTTTTTTGCTTATGTATGACGGAAAAAATATGATATTAAACCCTAACAGCATTTCAGTTTTTATATAAGGTATTTAGGTAAAGGAGGGGAGTATAAAGTCGGAAAAAAAGTTTATTACATAGCAAGTATATTCAAGTATAGTTTTTGAGTCATGCACTACTTAAAACTGTTAATGTAAGCTTTACAAAATTATCACCAAGTGTATAATGAGTATCATAGGCCTTTGGATCTCAAGTACCACTATTACTGTGTAGTGGACTTTCTTTACAAGAATTTAATGTTTTAAAATTGTTAATTCAATGTTCCAATACAACCTTCTGCAAGTAAACGTTAAACAAGGATGGTTCAATAAATCCTTAAAAAATCTTAGAGACGATGCTCGTAGTATCGCAAATTTTCTGTTTTTTGCAATTCTTTACTAGGTATCTGACAAAGTTTCAACGATATTTTTTCAATTGTATAATTTTTATTGCCAATTAAAAAAAATAACTAAAGTAACTCAAGAATAAAATCGCATGACATAGTTGAGGCATAGAAATTTCGATAGGTGCCATAGTTTTAATTTTGCATGAAAATTGGGTATTGTTCACCTTAGAAGTAGCAGGTGCTAGTATTCTGACGAGGCGAGCGCCATCATATTCCTTTTATATGCTTTGAAGGAAACTTACATACTAACATTGATTTCTTTGTGTCTCAAAGCAACGGCTAATAAATGTGTAGCCCTTTAAGTGTCAGTTTCCCCACTGCCTACTTTTCCACCAGCTTAAGCCTACGAGCCGAGTGCTCTGCTCGAGCTCGGCTACTCCTTGCTCGGCCGCGAACTAGTACGTAGCTCTTCACAGCACCAATTCCACGACGCGTCGACGTCGACTAGTAGCACATCTCAAGGCCCTTTCGCCATTTTTCTTTTCGCCTCTTCAAAGTCCACCTGCGACTTCTGTTTCTTCAACAGTCAGGTTTTACTTTTGTATTAGTTTCATTTAATTTAAATTCTTTCTTTTTTATTTTCGACAGTCATTATTCAGTTTAGTAGTCAGATTCAAAGTTTATAATTTTATATCCTTTCAAAGCAATTCTTCAATAGTTTTATTCGCACATTACATATTGTTCACGTGTTTTTACTTTCCTCGTTTAATAATAAACTCTGCATTACTGTTATTTTACCGTTTTATTTAATAAAATACTCAAGTCTGTTTAAGCACTATTATTAATCGTTTTGTTTTAATTGATTTTCTCCAAGAAATCGTTTATCAAATATTATTGTTTATGTATGCGCAACAATTTAATATTTGTTATATGACTAATTTGGCACTCTAAACATCATACAAATTTATATCCACGTAACAATATAAGTTTCATTTTTTTTTTTAAACTCTATGTAAACTCGAGGCTCGAAATTGAACAATAATTACAATTTTTTGAGCGAGTTATCTAGAAATATTCAGGTATGAAAAAAATACCTGCGAAGTAGGTGCCGCATTAACTCTCAACTAAGAGTCTTTTTGAACAACTTCTACAATAGTTCTCATTTCCATTATACGTGTACTTAAAAATGACAATGTTTTCTTACAGAAAATTGTACATTAAATTATCTAGATGTAAATATCCGAAGGATAGTTCAATCCTAGAACGTAGATTGCTGTACTATATTTATCTCTAGTCCACATTTAAATTACAAATTCTTTTTATACTTGATTTTAAAATGATATACAACATAAAAAAATGGTGTTGACAATGATCATAACAATGACGATGGCAATCATGATGATGGTAACTAATTTTCACTTGAAAGTTTAAATAAGTTGAGTGCTATAAAAGTGATTATATAAGTACTTATTATTAGTAACTCAAAATATTTTAAGTTGAGATTTTTTTTATAAATTTATTTTTGTAAGAGGTTTCAGAAAGTTTATTCTCTGACTGTAATAGTTAAAGCCCCAATGTTTTTTAGGCTGTTTTAAGATCGAATCAAGGAGCTGTTGATATGACTATTGATCAATTATTGTCAATGAGCACTGATAATGAAAATGAAAAGATTCGCAGTGAAATTGAAGAAAATGAGGATTTACCATCAAGAAACATAAAGTTGACAACTTTTAGAGCTGAAAGCACCAGAAAAATTAAAAATTGGCAACCACCTCTTATTGGGCCGTTGCCTCATTCTTTTCTGCGAATCTCTTTTCAGGAAGTCGACAGTATTAACAGTTTGAATCTCAACTCTGGACAAGACTTTAGTTTTTTAGAAGATGAAAGCTTTGCTTTTTTTCTTCAGAATAAGGAATTTATGACAGAATTACGTTGGAATGAAGACTTTATGTCAACTTTGAAAAATGGTAATACATTTTTTATTTAAAACGATAAAATTTCTGTCTTGTATTTTTTGTGATATTTTAATAACTCATGACGTGGCTTGGAGGTAGAACATCACACTAACCGATTTTCAAGGAAGTTAACAAGCTTAACTAACTTAAAGTTTATCTCGTAGTTCATGAGCACTCTTACTGAAAATATGTGAAAATAAATTAATTAAAATTTTTATTCATGATGATCAGTGAGGAACTTAAAGTATACTTTGTATTACTTTTCAAATTTTTCGCAGCCATGTTTTGAAAACTACTCTAGCCTTTATAATAAAAGTCTTTTAAGTTTGAATTTTTCTTACTCAATTAACATGATCTTGTTATGTCTATATACTTTAAGGTCAAAGGTAGACTAACTAGACTTGAAGGAGGCTCTACCTCACTATCCCTTACCTTTCTAGCTCTCCCATATCCTAATAATTTTTCTTGCTTTTCCTTTGGTATACTTAAGCTCTTATTTTGCACTCAACAATCGTTTGCTGGTTAGTGAATATTTTTAAGTAAAATATACGTGATTTCATTTATTTATCTGATTTTTTTTTTTGGTGTTTACTTTAGTACTTTAACAACTAACCTTATAGTTTTAAATCATATAAAAAATTGTGATTTTGATTGTTTGAGTGATAGTATAAATTGTTAGATGTGTAATTACTTTGGTTTGAAATACTACGGATACTTGTTTATCAAACGTAACCCATGTCCATGCTGCCTCCATCATAACATTTATTTGGTAAATCAACAAAAAGATCAAGTGCAATCAAATAAAATTGTTTTAAAATACTTATTATAGAAGAGTAGTAAATGAAGAAATAATTAAATAAGTATATGTGCAGTACATGAGAATGAGCAGTTGCATTCAATGTCTTAAGACAATGATCTATGTATTGTAGCATCAAAAACGAAAGTTAATAATTTGACAAAACTGCTTTCCATATTTATTCACCTCTAAAAATGTAAATATTATTCTTTGACTTATAGAGCTAAATGTTTGGTGAAAATTCACAGAAAAATTCAACATCATAAATATTCGTAATTCGATAAATCTCGGACGATCATAGAAAATATAAGGTATTACATTTAAAAAAAAAGAGCAGAAATATATTTATATTAAGAAATACATTCTTTAGTGATTATGACTGAAATGACACATTTTAATTGACGAAACATTAAAGTGGTAGAATTGTGTGGACGTCTGTATAACTCCTGAATATCTGCATAATTACCCTACTCCATGCTTATAATTTCCCGCATAAGTCACTTTTTAAAAACACACGCAAACAGACGAATGCGTGCGCGCACACACACATGCACACACACATACACATACACATATCTCTCAATGTTATATAGTTTCTTTGTGTAGGGTAGTCATCATTCTTTCCCACGCTCTCCACACTTCCGAGCTCCTTCGAAAAAATAAGTTTGTTTCAAATATCCCCCCCACAAAAAAAGTAAAATTTGATCGTTTCTCACAGGATACAGACATAGGTAAACAATATGCTAAACATTATAATAATAACAATATATCTTTGTTAATATACATGTTCGGGCACATTTAAAATCTACTGACTAACAACCGAACAATAACTCTCACATTTTTGTTACGTTGAGATAAAATTTTTTTATACTTCAAGTGCTTGAAACATGCCTTAGTATTTATTTATGTCTTGTAAAGTTTATAATTTACTGCTACTGAGATATCAATAGTACAAAAAAATGTAGCTTTTTTTTCCACCGTTCAAAGACGTTCAAGCTAATTCCCAAACAAACCTATTACATCTATACTAAAGGCCGCGGTTACATGGAGTGGAAAAAGCTAGTGAAATAACAGAGCGTCAGAGAAGAAAAATAATTTCCCTACTACTATTTTTATTTGTTGTGGAAACCTTTTTTTCTAACGTAATCTATCAGAGGGGGTACCATTTAACTTTTTTTGCGTCGTGGCTCTACGTTATTACATAGGCTGATGAACTGAAAAATAATTACATGATACGGCCCTAGTATTATGTAAATAGGATTCCGCGCATGACAATGCACTCATCACAAGTTTATTACACCTACACCTTTATGGAAAAAAGGTGTACAGATTCGTATATACGTTTACAGCTGAGGTGTAGTTGTTTGTACATCCATAATAAAGGCTGCGGTTACATAGGGCAGAAAAAGCCAGTGCAACATCACAGCATCAGAGAGAAAAGTTAATTTCCCCTCTAATCAGTCGGTTTGATCGTGTTTTTTTTTTTGGAGTTAAATTTCTCTAGGCTCGCCTTATATGGGAAATTAACCCGTGAAACGACCGAGCGACCGTACGCAGGCTTGTATATTTATAGCTATGCGCTCGATATGCCAGTGCAAAGGAAGCCATCGTAAACAAATAGGCTGGCGGTACTAAAGAGAACGACAAAGTCCGGTGGACAACAACAACATTGCTGTTCTTTCTCACATTTTCACTGCACTGTAACGAAATGAATACCATATGATAAATCATATTGGCCATTCTACTCAAAATTGCATATTTCATGTCCCAGTCGATTACACAGTCGTTTAAGGAGATATCGATCGGGAAACATTTTTAATTATTCAAAAGATGTTAACTGCTGAAGGTAAAACAGACTGTAGACCATAAATAAGTATTTTTTTAGTTTGAGATGCAAAAAAGGGCTAAATTAGCGTAACGAGCTCATGACTCATTCGAAAATTTTTAGTTTTAACTACTCCTGGAATCAAAACACAGTTTTTAATTTTTGAAGTTATACTTCTGTAGGTGAATCAAAGCTTTCAGATTTTGACCTTGAGAAAAAGTGTGACGGAAGTGGATTTTTCTTGATTCTTCCCTTTCGCCCCACCCCTCATGATGTACTTCCGGTTTCCTCTACTATATATATATATCGCCAAGCGAACATGGTTAAGTTGCGCTGTTTTGATTCGACGTTTCGATGGATGGTTGAATCGTATAATTTTCTTGTTAAGTGTGTTTGTAAAAAAGTTGTTTTTATGGACACAAGTTAAGAGAAATTGACAGATTAATAGTTTATCTTGAATGGAGCAGTATTTGAGCTGTGAATTATATTTATTTCTCGTTTTCAAGGTTCCATCAACTGGTAACAAAATACGTTATTATGCACGCAAAAGATGAAATGTGAGCTAATGATTTTACTTGCCGAGCGTTACTTCGCTGCAACGCTTGTGAAGGATATTTTTTAGATAGCTTACAATATTTTAATTCGATTCTTTTTACGTAGGTGAGGCCTAACTTAGAGTGAAATTAAAGTATGTCGTCGTGTTTACTGAATTGAAAAATCGTATGCTTCTTGCTTGCTTTAACAATGGCTTTCTCGTCTCGGTGCTGTAATCCCTTGGGGTTGTCCAATCACAGTAGTATATTCAAGAATTTGTTAAACTTTTCAAGTGATTATCGAGAGACATACCCTGCTGCCTGGAGCCGTAATGGCATGATAAGAGAATTTAACTGTACAGAACGAGAAGCAACGCAAGCTACAACTTTATTATCTGAAAATGGCATATTAACAGCTCCGTAATAAAACGAGGCAAAGTACTTCCTCTCAAAACAGAAAATTTAGTTAAAAATTTTTATGTACGTGATGATGTAAGTCGACTTATGCCTAGCTTCAAGGATTTCATTTCGGTGAAACAAGAAGATTGTAAAAGGATTCACATACAAAAAATATTATTACTTGGCGATTTAAATGATTTATTTCTACAGTTTAAAAAAGAGCACGAAAATATCGAGATCGGTTTTACTAAATTTACTTTGCTTCGACCCGTCCACTGCATTCTAGCTGGAAGCAATGGAACGCATACGGTTTGTGTTTGCGTACACCATAAAAATGTTAAATTGATGTTGGAAGGGACTGACTTATCTAAATTAACAAAACTTAGCACAAATTACAATTAAACAACTACAATGGTTGCATTGCAGCCCTAGTATGCGATAATCCATCAGATGAATTTTACACGGGAGTTTGTCTTGATTGCCCGAATACAGCTCAATTGAAAAATCATTTAATTCAAGTATTTAATGACACCGATATTTGTGAAGTAAAATTCCAGAACTGGTTTCAAACTGATCGGTTAAATATAGCATCACAAACGCTAAATGCTAACGAATTCACTGCTTTACTCTGTGAAAAGTTAATGGAGTTGAAAATCCATGATCATTTCTTAAAAAAATAATCACAGTCTTTTCAAAACCTCAAAAGTAACTTGGAAGATGGCTAATTTATCGTGTGTTGTGATTTCGCGGAAAACTATGCGTTCGTTGTGCAAAACTCGACCCAATTGTTTCATTTGAACAAAAATCAGGCATCTGTATTTACGATAGTTATTTATCATGAAGAAGGAGATGAAGTAAAACATAAAAGTATTGCCATTATTTTCGATAATTTAGCGCATGATACCACAGCCGTGTATGAGTATTAAAAAATTATTGTCAATTATTTAAAAAAAAACTTTAATCCGAAAAAAATTTCTTACTTCACCGATGGAGCTGGCCCATATTTTAAAAACAAAAGTAATTTCCAAACTCTTTTATACCACGAAACAAATTTCGGTATAGCAGCTGAATGGCATTTCTTTGCCACTGCACATGGCAATGGTGCTTGTAATGGCATTGGAGCAAATTCAAAACGAGGCGCGAGAAGAGCAAGTTTGCAATTGACGTCGGAAAAGCACATTACCTCTGCTAAAGCTTTATACGATTGGGCAAAAAGTCACTGCAAAGAAATTGAATTTTTTTTAGTGCGAAATCAGATTATAAAGCAACTTCAATGTTTTTAAAAAGTAGGTTTGAAAAATGCAAACTTATCCCAGGAACATTAAATTATCACGCAATCATTCCCATTGATAACAAACATTTTATGCTTAAAAATACATCTTTAGCCACAAAATATCAAAATTTTCCAAAAGTGAAGCAAGAAAATCTTAAGGCGACGAGTATTTAGAAGAAAAAATGT